TCCCTTGCTGTGAGCTTCAAAGGTGTATAAGGTTTGTAAAAACCTGCATGGAAATGATAATATTTAGGATAATGGTCATTTCTGGGGAAGGAGACTGGTGATAGAGATTGGGCAAATCACACAAGGGTTTTAACAGAATCAGGAGTAAATATGGACAAAATTTTTGTCAAAGCTTAGGTAGATGGTACATGGGTATTTGTTATATGACTCTCTATGATTTTATGTGAAACATGGTTTCATAAAAATAATGTGATATTTCAATACTTAGTTATAAACACTTATGTATAAATACTAAAACATTCTCAGGGAAATAATGCATTTGCTTCAAAATAATCTAAGGGATAAGTGAGTTTGTTAGGGATGTAGATAAAACAAACGTTGTGAGTTGATGTTTACCTTGGTAATGGGCATATGGGGGTTCATTATACTTTTGTCTCTCCTGGCATAGGTTTGAATTTTTACATGATAAAAAGTTTTATAATGTAATAGTATAGTCCTCAATATCTTTTAAAATATGTAACATCCACTACTGAATACAAGACTATCCTGTTAGCTTGATTTTCCAAAAATTCGCATCTGTTTCTATCCAACCGAACTATTGTTCAGGCAGTGAGTTTTATTAAATAACATTTCAAACATAAAACAAGATCCAAGATGGAAGACAAGTGCAAGGTCCCCCATGTAGTCACAACTTGCTTCAACAATTATGACTGTCTTGTCAATTGAATTCATTCATTCCTAGGGGCAGGGTGTGGGTGAGGGGAGGGAGGAGCAATCTTTCCAATCCCAGGCTCTGGCAGGATGCCTCCGTAGAGATTCCTGCTAGGCTGTTGGACATATGAGCTGGAATTCCGGTTAGAATATTAATCTGGGGGCCCTCTCTTGTGGTGCAATGGGTTAGGACCGAGCACTGCAAGCTGGCTGCAGCTGCTTCAGTGTAAGTTCGATCCCTGACCCCAAGGTGACCCACCTGGCGTGGCAGACCTCTCCTGTGTTGCCTGCTGCTCCCCTCAGCAGTGTACTTCATTGATCTGCCTGTTCTGTTCCCCACTCTGTCTCTGGTGAAGCCTCTCACCACCCCTGTACCTCTGACCTGTACCTCAGTTCTGTATGAATAAATAAATAAATCTTAAAAAAATAGAATATTAATCTGCATTCATCATTACCTCTTATTTTCATATGTATAGCCACCCCGTTTATGTAACATAATATCACAATCTGTATATATTTTTTGCATGTGCTAAGAGTTTACTAGCTTCCTTGTTAGTGGGGGAAGAGAAGGATGACTCTAAACGGAACCATAAACTTACAGAAAACTGACAGTTGACAGTGTCTTATTCATAACCAACCTACACAAGCGGTCCCTTTCTCTGCATATGTGTGTACATGTAGTTGTGTTTCTGTAGGTGTTTGAAGCTCAAGAATGTGAACGAATAAACTTCTTTCGGAATGCACTGTGGTTGCACATGAACCAGCTATCCCAACAGTGTGTCACCAGTGATGACGTAAGTCAGGCATTGCAGAGAATTATTAGAGTAAATTAACTGTAGATATTTATCACTTCACCTCCTCATTTGGGGTCTAGAGAGGAACTGTGACTTGCTCAAGGCACACTGGGCATTGATAAAAGGATCCAGATTAATACCTGGTCTGCTCCAGTCTACTGTGTGCTCCTTGTCTACTTTATTATCATGACTTTTGCTTTAAAAATTAAGAGTTGGGGCACTCGCTGGTAGCACAACGGGTTAAAGAGCAGCACTACAAGTGAGCAGCAGCCACCTCAGTGCAAGTTCGATCCCCGAACTTGCCACCCACATGGCATGGCAGACTTCTCCTGGCTGCTCCCCTCAGCTATGAACTTCATCGATCTGCTTGTTCTGCTCCCGGCTCTGTCTCTGGTGAATCCTGTCACGCCCCCTGCACCTCTAGCCTGTACCCCAGTTCTATATGGATGAATAAATCTTTTACAAAAATTAAGAGTTATGGGGCCTCGCTGCAGTTAAGTGGCCTGGGATTAAGTCTCACTGCTACCACTGTGTAGGGGCCAGGGAGCTAACCCACATATGGTGCAGCAGACTTCTCCTCACTCACCTGATGCTCCCCTTAGCAGTTTATTTCAGTAAATCTGCCTGTTCTGCTCCCCACTCTGTCTCTGGCATATATCCCAGTTCTTCTACACCACCATAAATAAATAAAATCTTTTTTTTTTAAGAAGGGGAATGATAAGGAAGAGAAGAAGATATAGTAGAATAGATTAAAAAGAAAGAAATTAAGAGTTCAGGCAGGTGAGGAAAGGAGGCAGACCCAAATATAGCATGATTTATGGAAGGCAGAGATGTCTTGCATGTGAGTCCCAGAGACTGCTTCAGTCTGGAATGTATCACTCCAGGACAGCAGCCAGCTCTAGCAGACTGACCCACAGCCTGTGGTCCTGTCTCAGTATGCATTTCAGTGGTTATGCCAGGGTCATTATTCAGGCTTAACTTGGTGTACAATCATTTCCTGGTTGGGACCAGATTCGAGTTATCATAACCTTTGCTAAGAGATAGCCACTCTCATTTAATGGGGCATTTGCTTTAGAAGAACATTAACCACCCACAAAACCTGTTTCTATGACTTTCTGCAAGTGAAGTAATTGTCATTGCATTGCATGACATTGATCTTCTGTCATGGAACTTGGTCTCTATTTTCTTTGTCCCATTAGTATTTTGTTAAAATTCTTTTCTGCCAAGTTTTTTGTTCTGTCCTAAAGATACATTTTTTTGAGGTCATCTTAAATGAAATTTAGGAAAGAGTTAGTTGTGCAGCAAATCTCTTTTAATAAACTGCATCACCACGATTATGGACATATCACCACCTGAACTTATCTTCTCTTTGTTAGATGTATGAACAAGTCCGTAAGAGTTTAGAAATGTGCAGCATTGAAAAGGACATCGAGTACTTTGTCAATCAGCGAAAAACTGGACAGACACCACCAGGTGAATGGAGTGGCAGGTTGGGGGTTATTTAAGCTCTTCTAGGAGTCTCTCTGGAATATGTCATTGATACTGGAAGATATCAGCCTCTTAATGTTTCTTGATCATCCCCCAGCACCCATCATGTATGAGAATTTCTACTGCCCCCAGAAGAATGCCGCACCACTAGGAAAGACTACTGTGCCTAACTTGGCAAGGTAATAACCAGCTTCCTTTCACACGTGGAAAAATATTCTTAATCAATGATTTTATCACTGTTCTAAGACACTAGAATATATCTACCATTGTGTTTGCTTTGCAAGGTTACTAGTTTTTTGGAAATAGCATTTTTTTTAGGACAAGCATTCAGTGTTAACTGCCCTTGAATATGTTTGTTACTCATGCATGAACCCTGTTCCTTTCCTATAGCTGGGCCCTGGGAGTCAAATCTGGCCTGTCTAATTTGGTGGAATTAGTGAGTTAGAATAATTTTTACATATTAATTGCTTAAAATGGTCAAAAGGATACTATTTTGTAACATGCAAATTATATGAAAGTCAGAGTTCCATATACACATATAAAATTTTATTCTCAACATGGCCACACACCTTGGTTTTGCACTGGAGTGGAGTTATGACAGAAGCATGGCCTATGTGGCCAGCAAAGTCTAAATCTGTCTGACCCTTTAGAGGAAAAGTTTGCTGCCCCTTCTATAAAAGATTTGAGAAAAGAGAAACTTCTGTTTCACATACAGTCGACTTTCAGTCTAAGATGTTGAATTTACAATCCAGTTTTAGGAAATATGGGAGTTCACGGGAGGATTACATAATCATCACCAGTATTTAAGAATGCCAGGCCCTGATCAGAACAACTCACTAGCGTTAGCTCATGTAATCTTTCCAGTGGGTATGAGCTGTTTACATTGCACATCCTGTGTGAGGAGGCGGCTCTCTACGAGGAACTCAGGGTACCTTGCTACACAGCTGAGACTTGAGTCCTGCCAGGCTGGGTTGCGGGATGAGGCTTTGTGTTTCCAGTCACCTGGCATCCTGCTCCTCAGCTTAGTGTGGTTTCTGCAACTGGATTCCTGTAGGTCAGCGAGTTTGTGCTTCCCCTGAACTTCTCTCTCGATTCTCCAGAGGGGAAGTCAAGTGGATTAGAGGACTGCATGTTTGTAGTGTAAAGTAGAACATTCAAAAAATAAAAAAATAAAAAGAATGTATCTGAGAAACGATGGTTTTCATTTCTTACAGGAGAGGACCTCCCCCGATTCCTAGAAGTTTACCAGGTAGGAGACCAAGAAACCTCTTGAGATGTTTATATCTGGTTCTCTTCAAGATTCATTAGCTAGAGGTTTGAAATAAAGGGAATGAAAGGAGTAAATAGAAAACTCCCAAGAGAACAAGCCTATATTACACTTTCACTGTAAGACTGTCACTGAGTGGGACTTGATTATTGGTGGGCTATTTTATAACTTAGGCACGAGAAGCCAATTATGGAATTGCCAAAAGAAACTTAGCATAAAATAATCTTTCCTCAGAGATTATTTCAGTTTGGCACATGAAAGTAAAACAGAGTTGTAATTTCCTTGGGATCACAAAGAAATATAATTTGCAGATGGCACAGATGTCTAGAAATATGTAACTTGATATTATGTTTTTTGTGTACTGCCCATAACTGGATCTTTCACTAAACCCTGGGCTTATTTTCCTTTGAATTCCTGTGATACCTCTGGGAAAACTTGACATTTTATAGTATTTTTTACTGGTAGTAGTATTTCTGGATAATTATAAGATCTAGAAGGGCAAGGTGTTTGTGTAGTCTCTCCTATATCACTCACAATACCCAACACAGACCTGCACACATAGTAGGTACTCAAAATATATATTATTTGAATAAAAAAAGATAACCCTACCTATGTTCAAGGGAATGATGGAAGAGACAACTTAAGCCACACTTAGCAGTTTAACAAAAATGTAACTGAAAGCCAGTCATTAAAACTGTGTCTTTGAACAATACCATAAGGATATGAATTATTTTGTATCTTGTTCCTATGTAAGTACCATTTGACAAAGTGGTGTTTTTGTGTCTGCTTTTGAGGATGACTTGACTTTGCTGCTATCTGGGAATGGATGAAAAAAGGACAAAGAAATCATAGTAGTGATTTCTAGAATGTTTTCTGGTTCACAGTCATGACTACTGTCCACATACATATATACACTCATTTTTACAAAGGACCAGTCACTAATTCCTCAGTGGAGTGTCTTGATTTACAATGATAATTCTTCAGTGGAGTGTCTCGATCTGATCATGAAATAATATAAATGTTGTTCTATGCTCTGTCCTTAGCAGATGATCCAGACTATTCTTTGGTTGATAACTACAGCTTGATCTATCAGTAACATCAATGGTAAGAACCTTTCATTTTCACATAATCAAGTTGCATTTAGACTTGTGATTGTATTTTTTAATTTAATTTAATTTAATTTTTTTATTACAAAGTTTATTTTTACATCATTTTGCACATTTGTGATTGTATTTTTTTAGTCTTTGAAGTCTCTTTGCAACATACTGCAAGCAAGCTAGCCTTGCAACAGATGGGTGTCCCGGTGGATGTGTGTCCCTGCAGGATGGCCCCTCTAAATCCCGCAATGGAAAGGAGTGGAGAATACTCCAACATATTTGGATGAAATCCTCCATTAATTATTCTTTAACTCATGTTCTGGTCTTGTTAAGTTCTTTCACACCTGCACACCACAGGCAGTGCTCACAGACACAAAGATCCTCAATGTTGAAGTTATTTAGACACTGCCATACTCTCGCACTCCTTACAGAGTACAAATCAGACAAAAAGATGTCAGTAAAAGGAAGCAAGTAATATCATAGGTCATGACTGCTTGGAACTAGCAAACTGTAAGGCTCCCCAGATCACAGCTACTAACCCATGCAGGGCTTCAAGGATCAGTCTTCCTCCTTGGCATTGAGGTGCGGGCAGGACGAGCCATGTCAATGTCCATCTTCACAAATGTGAAGGAATGCCTTTAAAGCCAAAATAGCAATACTAAGTGAAACTCCTTGTAAAATACAATTCTCTCAAACTCCAAGGACATATCTTGACAATATATGCATATATGAGCAAACAAAAGGCCTCAAAGGATATATTTCTCAATCGGCAATAGCTCTTCTTCTCATTCACCTGTGTATTTCATTTGTTAACTGTGATAATTTATTGTTTCTTTAATTAGAAACTGCTTTAAGGGTTGATCTTCTTGTGTATTCCTGATTTTAGTGTGTGCTTGGGTCAGGGATGGGTGGATGGAGGAAGTAAAAATGGCCTGAAACTCTCCCACTCTTCCTGATTTGGTGTTGGTGACTCTTGGGTTGGTGAATTCTTGCTGTTAAAATCAGGTTTTAGCAGTGCTCCATGATAGTTTTCCTTAGTGTTATGGACCATCAAAAAAGTCGAAAAGTGCTTGGAAGTGAGCACATCACACATTGCTTGCCTTCTTCTGGAATAAAAACCTCTTTGTTTTATAGCCAATTAAGTGGATAGGATGGAAGCCATGTTGTGTTGATTAGATAGAAGTCATCAGCTAGTTGTTTGAGAAATATGTTTAATGGTTAAACAAATTTGCTTTAAAAAGGATAAAAGTTCCCTCCCTGGTGGTGCAATGGTTTAAAACACAGCACTATGAAGCTAGCTGCAGTTGCTTCAGCACAAGTTTGAACCCCAGCCCGGGAGGTGACCCACATGGCGTGGCAGACCTCTCCTGATCCTCCCATTGCTCCCCTCAGCAGTGTACTTCCTCAGTCTACCTGTTCTGCTCCCCACTCTGTCTCTGGTGAGGCCTCTCACTGCCCCTGTATCTCTGGCCTATACCCAGTTCTATATACATAAATAAACAAATTAAAAAAAAAAGTAGGAAGGGTACTGACATGAAGGGTCATTCCAATGAAATTTCTTCTGTTATCTTCTTTCAGATAACAAAGCTTTTCCCATTGGTGCTTCTATGGCATGGAAGGAGGCACTCAGAGCAGCAGAATCTATAGAAACGATGCCAGTGATGACAACTTTGAAGCAAACCCTTACTGTCATTTTTTGATACTGTCAATTTATGGTAGACATTTAGTTCAACTTAGGCTAGTAGATATCTGTAATTTAAAAAAGAAGTTTAAAAATTGACCCAACCTGAAGTATTACCTTTACCCACTTACAAGTTTTGAATGAATTGTTTTCTATTTGATCCAGGAAATTCTCTGAATTCAGAGTCTTGATTCTGGGAGTGTTGGGGAGCTGCACAGGACTCTGAGTCACCAATCTGCAGAATCCCCTTTGTTTTTGGGGGCATCACAGCTATGGAATTTCCACGGTGACATACATTCAGTGGTACATGATTAAAACTGCCTTTCTGCTTGGAAGACTTAGGTCATCTGATCACATTTTTTTATTTAACAGATGATGAAATGAGGCCCAGAAGTGGGAAATCAATTTTCTTGCTGTTCTCTCAGCTGATCAGGAACAAAACCGGCACTAGAGAACAAGCCTATTCCAATCAGCTTTCCTCTAACCCGTCCTGAGGCTGTGTTACTCAGGTTGAAATTTAAGATGCCAAATGTTTTCACCAGCATCTTTTCAGTTGGGAAAAGCACCAGGGTTTAAAGGTCAAATTTATTTTTGCATGGCTTACTGTGTGTACTGAACTTCAGAGCACAATACTTAATATAGTGAAAGAAGCCAGTGACTATAAAACACGCCATTACTTTAAGTGTCATGAGGAAAGCTGGAGGTGAGGGAGAATTGATAATTAACTTGTGATTGTTAATGGCCAAATACATTTGAACTTGAGATGCAAAAGCGTGAACAAAGTACTTCCTTTTATCAGTGACATATGATATTTTGAATGTGTTTCTGAAGGGAATGTTAGAGTCACCAAGCCAGTCCTCGATTCTGGGTATTCACAGAGAATCTTCCCCTTGTTAGATCTTGAAATTTTTAGTGTCATTAGTACCTTTTTACAAACATCCTTTTGTCAGGGAGATTATGTACCTTTTAGACAATATTCATACACTGAGAAAATGATGCACTTCAGTTCGTGACAAATTGAAATCATACTGGTGCTCACTGAGCATGTTGTAAATTTCTGTTACCACACACAAGAAAATCAAATATTTTCCTCGCATGCTCCGAGTGAGGTGTTCCCAGAATTATGGACAAAGCAATTGAAAGACTGTTTTTCTCTTCTAATGTGTCGAGCCACTGAAAGTGACAGCTTCTTGCTATGATAGGAAGCTTGCACTAGCTGGCTATCCTTTTGAGAAGCTGAAGTTTGCAAAGGGACTTCCCCAAACAGAGCACACTCAGGACATTTTCCTTTGAACTTAGCAGACTCTCTTTGGGACTTTATTTATTGTTGGCAGTTCTTCAGGGGTTTTACTTCTCTGTTGTGGAACATTGTTTTATGAATTAAAAATAATATTTTACTGTCCTGTTAGTATTAAGTAAAATAAAGGTTTTGGAGTTGCATTTTTCTGTCAACATTCGCTCTCTCCCAACAGCTCTCTTGTCATATTTGCTATTGTTAGACACAGAAAGATGAACTGTTGCTCACAGAGGTCATGCGGAGACACTTCCCACTTGTCCCTCGGTGCCAGTTGCAGGATCACTTCCCTTAAGACCAAGCTGATGACCAGCTGGGTTACTTGATACATGGCCCACCAGGAGTATTTTGCTTCATAACTGTTTTTAAGTTAGAGTAACATTGGTTTATAATATTATATAGATTTCAGGTCTATATATTATGTATCAACACCTGTAGAGACTACATTAAGCTCATCACCAAAAGTCTAGTTTACATCATTGCCACGTTAATTCATCCTTTTACCCAAATTACCTCTTCCCTTGGGAACCACTATTTTGTTCTTGTAGCCTTTTCCTTGCTAGATCCTAGAATCTTTAAAAATGTGGGCCAATCACTCTGGAAAGCTGTGTGGAAGTTCTGCAGAACACTAAAAATGAAGCTACCATATGATCCAGCCGTCCCACTCATAGGAATCTGCAGCAAAGACACACACACACAAACCTAATTCAAAAGATAACTTGCACTCCTATGTTTACTGCAGCACACTTTACAATAGCCAATTTATGGAAACAACCCAAGTGCCCCAAATACATGAACAGATAAAAAATTTGTGGTACATTTATACCATAGAATATTACTCAGGGATCAGTAAAGACAAACTCACGCCATTTGTTGCAACATGTTTGGAGCTGGGAAGGATTATGCTAGCCAAAATTAGTCAGAAGGAAAAAAATAAGTCCTGGATGGTCTCACTCATGTAGAATATAGAGAAATCAAACAAAAGGTCAAAAGAAAGTCAAAACTAGCAAGATGACCATAGAACTGAGGCGTACAGTAAAGAGAGGTGGAGAGAGGGGGCAGCAACCCAGGGAACGGATGAATCCAAAGGAATACGATGCTGGTTCACAGGAGACATGGTGGCAGGAGGACGATGGGATTACAAAGTTGTAAGGGAAAAATAATAAAAAAAGTTTTGTTTGCTCATTTGTTTTTGTTTCTTTATCTAACATATATGAATAAAATATGATGAATGTCATAATACCCTCTGGGTCCATCCATGGTGCAAATGGCCCACTCTTGTTCTGAAAGGCACAAGACAGGCATCCCTATCAGGAGTGGTGTTGAGAAGGTTACTGAGTTTTCAGAACATTCCCAGCACTAGGGACTAATGCCCTGGATTGGTAACTAAGGTCACCAGCTGGACATTTTTGGTACTTGCAATACCAGCTTATAGTTGAAATAATTGAAATAATTGAGAAGAGACAATTTCTTTATAACTAAAATGTATTTAATATTTAGTAGTCATAAGTGATGAAATAATTAATATCTTGTACAGAGTGATATCCAGGAATTAATTATTTGTGGAATGATGACTTTTCAGAAGTCATGTGTCAAAGGTTTCAGCTATGAGGAATTGCCACTAGGTGGCGACAGAGACTTTGGAATCTAATTGGGTAACATTTAAGGTCCACCTAGGTATCCTTCAATGTTAACAGCTTACACTGAAGCCTTGTTAATGACAGGCACTGTTTCAGACACTGACTGACTTAGGAATTACCATCAAATTATGGACATTTCTGAAGGAAAGAAAAAAAATAAACTGTCAGTAGTGTGCGTATTATGATGAATCCAGTCTATTTTATTGTTTTTTTAAGATTTACTTTATTCATGTATACAGGAACTGATGGGGGGGGTTTAGAGGGGATGAGACTATTCTTTAAAGACAGAGTGGGGAGGAGAACAGGCAAATCTACCGAAATACACTGCTGAAGGGAACAACTGGTAAGACGGCAGAGGTCTGCTGCACCATGTGATTCATGCTTCAGTGGCAGGAGATAGCTTGATAGTGCTGAGACCTAACCCCTGTGCCATCAGGAACCTTATGAATCCAGTCAGTTTCAAATAAAACATTTCTGATATTCACCTGGATTCCAATGTGTACAGAGTATTACTAACACAGACAGTAAACCTGGCTTCCTGTCTCATACTGTACTTTCATTTATATTGCACTTCTATAATCTATTTACAGACAGGCAAGACCCATGCAAAGACAATGTTTTTGTCTTATCCCCATAGTAACCAAAGTCAGCTTGTCTAAAAGTGAATGAACTGTAAGGAATATATTCCATAACCAACCCTAATTCTTGGTAAACAGTTTTTGAAATCCTAACTCCCTCCCCCCCCCATTGAAACTTCCTTCTACAAAGACCCCAGTGCAACACAATCTGAGATGCTATTTGCAATTGTTTCCTAATGTAAAAAACCTAAAACCTCGAAACACAAAGAACCACCACCACCACCAACAAAACGCTAATTGCCTCCTTTTAACTATGCGGACCTTGGACACTTTAGCCAGACTGACAACAAATTATACAGTATTTTAAAAGGTACTAAGCGTTTTGCAAAAAAGAAACTTCAAAGCTGGAAAAGAGATGAAGCCAAGCTTTTCACATCTGTAATTTAAAAAAGAAGTAAGATGTGTAAAATCTATACCAAGATTACTTTTATCAGACTTGACTGCTTATTTGGGTCTTTCCGTTTAGGGAGTATGTCTCTTTCCTGCCAGGGTATTTGTAACATCATAAGAATAGCTACCATTTACTGACTTGCCTGCGATCAGGCACACCTTTCACGATTAGACCGTTTAATCTTTACAACAGAGAAGGCAAAAATTACCATTCCCCTTTACAAAACAGGACACAGAAGTCACATCTGGATGGACATCAAGGTTCCCTTCTCCAGTTCAAAGCAGAGATTGAAACTAAATCGATCTGTATATCGAACGATCAAAACAAGATCGGCAAGCATTGCTCCCTGGACTCCTTTAAGCCAACGTGGGTGAGGCATGCGAGCGCTCTTGAGGTCCATACAGAGCTCCGCTGCGCAAAGTTGGGGGAATATTACAAACCCACCGGCCCTTAACTCCTTCCCGCACGTAGTTGTGCGGACAGCGCAGAAAGGCTCACGCGCCTGCGCGCCAGGGTCGGGGTGGAGCCTGGACAGAGGGGCGGGGCCACCGTCATCCAGTGACAAGGCATCCCAGAGTAGTTTGTCCTACTTTGCGGTCCGTAGAGCCTCTGAGTCGCGCACCTTTTTCAGGAGTGGCGGAGGCTCGATCATGTGACAGGGGGCCGGAACTGGGCAAGTTGTGGGAAACGCAAGGTTTTGACCAAAACAAACGGCGACGCTGCCGCTGCCGCTGCAGGGTCTATGGCCGAGGCGGTGAGGCCCACTCGCCGGGCCAAGTCCAAGGCCAGCCGGACTAAAACCAAGGTGAGGATCTTGCCCTTCTGCCCCTCTTTCCAGAGGTTCCGGCATGTGTGCTCGAGCTCCTTTTGGCTCTCTTTGGCCTCACCAGTCAACTCCCCATCTTCTTAGCCCTTCGCATCCTGGCCCCCACCTCCTGGGTATTTGATCCACCTACCCATCAACACCTGCCCTGGTCCTCTATTCCTCCTCTACACCTGTGCCAGACTTTGTTGGCGTCCATTTCTTTTTATTCCTCTCGAATCTCACTGGGGTCTTCCTTTTCTGCTCCTCTTTACTTTTTTCTCTCTTGTGCATTCTTGTCGTGAAGAAACATCTTTTCTTTTTTTCAGCCTTATTTCTTACTGTCTCTTTTCTCCTTCATAACCTGGAAACATTTTAACGGACCTCTTCTCCATGCTGAGAATATATTCTTTGCCAGAGTTTTATGGATAGCGTCATATGAGGAGTGGGGGAGATTCCTCCATTCCCTTCTGTTCTTCGCGGCTGCCAATAATCGAGTTAATGTTGGACAGTCCGACAAGGGAAAGCCATCAAAAGTTTAATATAACGTGTACTTCCTATGTACATGGACGAAATCCAGTAAAATTGAATAACTCGCTGAAATGACTTCATCCTTTAAAATAATATCTACTGAAGACGATTTTCTGGGGGACCGTCAGTTTTGGGAGATTACCAGGCAAGGCGTAGTAAACAAGAGTATGATTTTTATGTTGATATAAGTTGCCACCTTCTCCTTTGATAGCAGTTAAGAAATTTGGTGTTCCTGAAATGAATTAGAGAGATGTAATCTTCCTAGTTCAGCTAGCAATCTCCTTAAACATGGAGATTTTCTTCGTAACTGTGCAGTTGACCCTTGAGGGAGGGAAAGGGGGATTAGGGTGCTGATTTCTTTCACTCTCCCCACCTCCAAGGATAACTTTTGACTCCCCAAGTTGAAGACAACAAACAATACATTTTGTGTATTACATGTATTATATGCTGTATTCTTAAAGTAGGCTAGAGAAAATGTTATGAAAATCAAAAGGAAAGTGAATGTGCAATAGTGTACTATATTGATATTGATTACTGTATTGATATTGTACGCTTACATCTTCTGTTTACAAGAAAGCCTAAGGAAACCAAATCCTTGTTGTTCATAGGACAACTGTAAATGTTGTTTACAAAAAGGCAACCTCCACCCAACTTTTGGGCCCTTTCTATGAATTATCCTTAAACCAAGGTGACTTCTTTTGGGGGACAAATCAGAGAGTAAATTGTAGTGATGTGTCTCTTCACTTTAAAATTCAAGGTTTTAATGCAGCTGCTGCTCTTTATTTCAGATTATTTCAGTTGGGTTACCAAAGTCCAGAAATTAAATCAAGGCAGGACTCACAGTAGAGATGAATTTCAATTATTTTCCTTCTCTGTGTTGGTTTGTTTTATCCTTAGGTGGAGTCTGGGTTGTTTTATTCCTATGTATTTTCGGAAGAGACAGTTTATAGTGAGCAGATTAAATGCTACCTCAGGATGACTGGATTTACATAATTTTGTTTACCTGAGACTACACCAAGGAAATAATGAGTATACTACAAGCATAGGAAATTTCTTTTTCTGCAACTGGGTGATGTTACTGAGCAGGTATCACTTAAAAATGATACCAAATTCTGATTTTCTTATGGGATTAGGGGTTAAATAGGAGACTAGTTTTCAAAGCTACCATTTTGTTTGTTTGTTT